CAAAAATGTGAGGGGTGTACTCATTTTTGTGAGATACCGTATATATATACTGATATTGTGGAGAATTCAGATCAGTGGAAATATCAATTTTAGTGCAACATGCCAGTCCAAACTGTGGTTTTAGAGCTTGATAGCCCACTTTTATTAAACGATAAAGCAAAGGTCCTTACATCAGGTTTCCCATGCATGGGCTTCAGCTTTACACAGCAGCAATTTAACACAAATAGTTCAGCCTCCTCTGCATCTGTTTCTCTTAGGCCCTCAGCCTTGTTAGAATGCCTCTCCTTCAGGCTAAAACAGAAACTCAGCTAGTGTCTTAGTCACACACATTGCTCCCATCCAGCATCGTTCCACAGCACACAGCAGTGACCCACACTGTCTTTGTTAGATGTCCAGCTGGACAAAGCACCTGTCTGCCACACTTAACTGACCTGGACATTCAAACACACTGCCTGCCCCTGTAGCGGTTTGTCTCCTGGACAGAAAGCCTCCTGTCCCCAGGTGAAGCCCACCTGACTCCTAGCTCCTGACGAGATCCCTAAGCTATGCACAAGCCTATCATTATAAGGGCTGTGCACACCTGGACACCTTCATCAAAACGTGCACACTGGGTTGGGTTCCCACCCAAAGCATTTTGAAGTCTCCAAACTCCAGACGCCAATCCGGGAATACCAAAAATACAGAAAAAAAACTGTCCCAAAAAAACAATGGGGGAGGTTTTCCAAAACTAGAGAGTGCAAAATTGGGTGCAGCTCTGCATAGAAACCAATCAACTTACTGTGAAAAACAAACAAAAACAACAGGCTTGGGACTGCTCTATAAATTGTAAGCACTAATTTCCCCCAATTGTTCCAATAAGTACACTGAGTGTGTACTGTGGGTATGTATCCATAGAGATCCAGGTTGTCAAAAAAAAGTCTTTATTGGAATCCACAAATAAAAAGTATCACAATGTCACATGAATTATATCATGAACTGTAAAATAGTATAGAACATAGGCCTTTACCATATATGGTGGCTGTGATGGAAGAAACCTCTCAAATATGATTATCTGGAGCTGTATCTGAAACCCCCTGGTGGATTACGGGGTCTGGGACCACTCGCCCGAGGCACTGCTGGGAGGAAGTCATAGATAGGTAGGACTGCGAGGCCTGGACAGCAGGCATCTGTGTAACTGTGACGTGTTTCACACTCCAGGTTCTTTCTCAAGTAGCACAATGTCACATGATACCATTCATGAGACATTGTGGTACTTTTTAACTGTGGATTCCAATAAAACCTGTTTTGTATGACAACCTGGATATTTATGAATACATAACCATGGTATACATTCACTGTACATATTGGAATGATTGGGGTAATTAGTGCTTACAGTTTATTATTATTATTATTATTATTCAGTATTTATAAAGCGCCAATAGTTCGCTCAGCGCTGTACATTACAAGTCTTAAGTTCTGTGGTTTTGTTTGTTTCCAATTGTTTTTCCACTACTCCAAGTGGTTTTCCCATAGAAGCTGGGACCATCATGTGATCTTCACTGCCAAACGGCTGATATGTTACTACAGACTCTAGCATCAGAATTTGGATGAATTGCTCAGGTTTTATTGTCAAACCTTAATTTGAACAAGTTGAAATTAGAAGCTGATTGGCTATCGTGCACAGTTGCACCAGATTCTGAGTCCTCCCATGTATAATATGTTTGGGTAGGCTACAAATGCTAAAAGATATTCCCTGGAACTCATAAAGACAGGCTCAGACAGATTTGGCAAAATGTCTCTTCGTTCTAAAAGTGGTGTATAACATGCCAAATTCATGTACCTGCCCAGAGATGCAAAATTTCCAGAAGTTTGAAGCAATGAGAAATAATATTTATCATTGTAAAAAATAACATATTCCACACTCAGGGCTGGTGCTAGACTATTTTGCACCCTAAGCAAGACCAGCTATTTGTGCCCCCCCCCAAAAAAAAAAATGAATAAAAATGTTTTAAACGATAGAACATATTAAATCAACAAAATATGCTGAATTTTTTTTAATTTGCAAAAATAAATGCCATAAGATGCCACCAGCACCAATGATAAAGACAAAATATATATTAACCAAGTATAAATTAACTGTATTAACCAGACAGAGAAACAGAAGAAAAAAAAGACAGTTCCAAAACTCCACAGTAATCAGCAGTTCCCAGCTGGCTTGTAGTAAGGGACTGAGTCTGAGAGTAACACTGGAAGGTGCGGCAGCTCAGCTGCTACACTTGCCCCAGACACCAAATGGTCATGTGAGTGGACAGGCTGTGAGACGATTGTTCAGAGTAAAGATACCATCATTCCCTGTGTATGAGGAGAGGGGGACTCTACAGAGGAATTAAGAATTCATACAAGAGGTCCATAGGCCACAGAGAGAATGCCAGCCTGTGCTGCGCCCAGGTGCACCTAGGTGGTAGTGCGCCCTAGGCGGTTGCCTAGTTTGCCTAGTGGAAGCACCAGCCCTGTCCACAACAGCTTTAGAAAAAAAACAGAAGAAAAACAGTTTTTCCCCAATTTTTCCATTTTTTCCAGGCCTTCCCATCTCTATACCTGTCTAGAACTTGTACTTCAATTTGGCACATGTTGCGCCATTTTTAGAATGCGCGTGAGATACTTTCGCAAAATCTGTCTGTGCCAGTTTCTCTCTCTGTACACCAAAAGAGTTGGCCTTAATTAGCTCCACTTTTGTAAAATATGAACTGTCGGTAATTTATTTTACATTTGACACAAAGTGGCACATTTTAGATCTACCTGAACTTGGAGCACAAGACGCTGTCAGAACAAAAAAGTGTCTCAAATGCTTCATGAATCTGGCGCAAAACATTAACAAGAGAGATTAAACGGCAGAAAATGTAGCAGCAGCTTTACTGAATTCCCCCCATTATGTACAGAAAATGAAAATAAAACGGAAAAACACTTGGGGACTCAAGGGTTAAGAACCAATAAATGTTTCAGTATAGCGAAATTGCATTCTAACATGAGGCTCTAGTGACACATATGAAGAAAACTATAAAGCACAATTCTGGGATTCCTACATATTCTGTATTGTGATGTTTTGTTTTTTTAATATGCTCAATTTGTATGTTTCCAATCCAATCATGCCTAATGAAAATGTAACATTAGAGCTGCTCTTCACACAATATAGCTACATATGGCATAGTAAATCCCCAAACATAAACAGGTTTATGTACAATTTAACCTAAACTCTTCAATAACAAAAATGTACAAATGACTAGGCAGCATGTACAGCAAATAAAAGAGCCGGCCTATTTGTTCTAATAAAAAAATTGTTCCTGACAAATGGCTCACCTTGACCCTCTGACCCTGATTTTATGTATTTACAGCTCTGCCGACAGCAACAATGAATATAACTCAGAATTAAAGGTCTCTAAATGGAATATGTTGTACGTAGAACTTCCATTGTTCCCTGAGTCTTCAAACACTACGTATAGTTCTAGTCTCTGAATACATCACATTCATAACATGTCTCGGTTTAATATTATAAAGATCATATAAATTGTATTAAAAGGGTCTTGTCTGCCTGGGGTTCCTTTATTTTGTAATATCTGCTTATGTGATATAACAGAGATAAGACCATGTTAAGAGTGGCTGTTTCTTTTATTTCACTCAATACTGTCCTTATCAAAGGGAAAATTCTACTTTATTTCCAGTCAGTACATATTTCGCTTTATTACCCAAGAGTAATTTTAATGCGACCTTCACACGTTTAATTGCTTGCTGTGCTATTCTTTCTTGATGGTATTTGACATGGAATCTATCGACTGGCTATCTGTATGTCATATAGGGCAAACAGCAGATTTGCTTCAGGCTTGCTTAAAGCAAATCTTGCTAAAATACCAAGATATTATACTGTGATCAAGAAGACATTATGAATCTCATTAGAGACTTTTCCTCTGATATTTTAAGCTGCAATAGCATTTAAAGCATTCCTGATCCACAGAGAAATGTGCTGCTTTTCAGCAGATGTGTGGGGTGACATTAATTCTTACAGTGCCACAGCAACATGCATTGCAGTGCAATGTCAAAAAAAGGGACTGGACTTCTTTCCCTGCACTTCCCACAGGTAGAGAAGTCCTTTTTAAATGAATGGGCTGCCCTTCCAGTGATGTGCATGTGTAAACACGCTCACAAAAAGTCTGAACGGAGCCTTAAACTCTCAGTATTTTTTAGTTCAACACATTTAAAGTTCATTAAAAATGATCAGTAAATGCTGTATTATATACTGTTCTTACACACTCAGTCACTTTGGGGTTGATTTACTAAAGCTGGTGAGTTCAAAATCTGGTGCAGTTCTACATAGAAACCAATCAGCTTCCAGTTTTTTTTGTCAAAGCTTAACTGAACAAGCTGAAGTTAGAAGCTCATTGGCTGCCATGCACAGCTGCACCAGATTCTGAGTGCTCCAGTTTTAGTAAATCAACCCCTATGGGATTAGTTTTCTGTATGCTGCAAAAACCTGGTTTACCCTGCTGTTCTCTGTCTCCCCCTCCTGTCCATGTGCCCGCTGTAGTTGGGGATTTTGCAGAGCAGTGTTGGCAGCTAGTGCACATGCTTAGTTTTCAGTGTATTTCTACCCTGAGCATTTCCTCCCCATCACATCTGAGCAATCCATGTGAATCACACATGTGGTCATATACTCTCTGGTAAATGACAGCCCACTCCCTCCTTCCTCTATGCCTATGAACCAGCTAAACACAGTGAGGCCGGGACAATACATGTAGATTGATGTAGGCTTCACCTCCATGTTAATCTAAGACATAGGCTAGAGGCTGTGACTGGCAGAAATCTGCCCGCATGTTATTGCCAAAAAATAATAAAGAGACAAATAATAAAGATTTGATTTAAAATATACACTATATTGCCAAAAGTATTGGGACGCCCCTCTAAATCATTGGATTCAGGTGTTCCAATCACCTCCATGGCCACAGGTGTATAAAATCAAACACCTAGGCATGCAGACTGCTTCTGCAAACATTTGTGAAAGAATGGGTCGCTCTCAGGAGCTCAGTGAATTCAAGTGTGGTACTGTGATAGGTTGCCACCTGTGCAATAAGTCCATCCATGAAATTTCCTTGCTACTAAATATTCCACGGTCAACTGTTATTGGTATTATAACAAAGTGGAAGCAACTGGGAACAACAGCAACTCGGCCACCAAGCGGTAGGTCACATAAAATAACAGAGCGGGGTCAGTGCATGCTGAAGCTCACAGTGCACAGAAGTCACCAACTGTCTGCAAAGGCAATAGCTAAAGACCTCCAAACTTCATGTGGCCTTCAGATTAGCACAATAACAGTACATAGAGAGCTTCATGAAATCAGTTTCCATGGCCAAGCAGCTTCATCCAAGCCTTACATCACCAAGTGCAATGCAAAGGATCAGATACAGTGGTGTAAAGCATGCCACCACTGGACTCTAGAGCAGTGGAGATGTGTTCTCTGAAGTGAAAAAATATCACACTTCTCTGCCAGACAATCTGATAGATTTTTCTGGGTTGGGCAGTTGCCAGGAGAATGGTACTTGCCTGACTGCATTGTGCCAAGTGTAAAGTTTGGTGGAGGGGGTATTATGGTGTGGGGATGTTTTTCAGATGCTGGGCTTGGCCCCTTAGTTCCAGTGAAGGGAAGTCTTAAGGCGTCAGCATACCAAGACATTAAAGACAATTTCATGCTCCGAACATTGTGTGAACAGTTTGGGGGCGGCCCCTTCCTGTTCCAACATGATTGCGCACCAATGCACAAAGCAAGGTCCATAAAGACATGGATGAGCAAGTTTTGAAGGAGGAACTTAACTGGCCTGCACAAAGTTCTGACCTCAACCCAATAGAACACCTTTGGGATGAATTAGAGCGGAGACTGGGAGTCAGGCCTTCTCGTCCGACATCAGTGCCTGACCTCACAAATGCATTTCTGGAAGAATGGTCAAACATTCCTATAGACACACTCCTAAACCTTGTGGACAGCCTTCCCAGAAGAGTTGAAGCTGTTATAGCTGTAAAGGGTGGGCCAACTCAATATTAAACCTTCCAGACTAAGACTGGGATGTCATTAAAGTTCATGTAAGTGTAAAGGCAGGCGTCCAAATACTTTTGGCAATATAGTGTGTGTGTATATATATATGTGTGTATATATATATATATATATATATATATATATATATATATATACATACATACACACACATATATATACAGTGTGTGTGTGTATATGACAATATGACAGTTTATTGATATTTATTTTTACTCTGTATCCCAAAGGCTGTTTTTTTTTTTCATTTTGAACATGTGATAGCAGCAGAGGACTCCTCCTCCTGCCACGGTTTCTGACGAGACAGCCTGGGAAAAAGCTGGGTCATGTGACAGCTGTATATTGATTAAGAAAAAAAGGTATTTAGATTTTTTGTTATTAATATAGTTATAGAGCCATCATCCATATACAGAAAAAAAAAGGGATAATGTAAATTAAGCAGTGTGTGTTTAGTATCATTTTAAGCACAATAAAATAAACATTTCCCAGTAAACTATTTGTTAAAATTCTTTTCCCAGCACTTGCTGTTTGCAACTTCCAATGTTGCTGGTTTCAGATCTGTCAATGCTGCTTTCCTGAACTTCCTTTCTTCACAGTAAAGAGTTTACAGTGGGCAGTGCATTCTCCAGTAAGTCTGTTAGCTTAAAAAAGGGAAGAAGAGGGAAGAGCAGGGAGTGCCTTGCCATCCTAGGCTGTGTGTTTCTATTTTGGCGCACAGTCCCTGGTTTCATAGGTTGCAAGAGAAAGGAACCACCCTAAACAAAGAAGCTTTGACAGTGGTCATGGCACCAACTTAAAGTGACTGAAAAGGCTAGAATAAAACAAGATGTTATACTTACCTGCTCTGTGCAATGATATTGCACAGAGCAGCCCTGATCCTCCTCTTTTGGGGTCTCCTGTTGGCATTGTCCACTTCTTCCTCCTGGGGCCCCATAGCAAGACATGTGCTAAGGAGGCACATGTGCAGGCACACTCCCAGCCAGGCTGTGCACATCCATAGACACACACACACACAACATGGCTCACCATGTCACTGTTTCCTCCTTTCAGGATTTGACTGACAGCACCAGAAGCCTATGGCTTCCACTGCTGCCTGTCTGCTGTGAGACTAGGGCTGGGACAGCGCTGGAGCATGAGAGATACATGTTTAGGGATGGGAAGGGGGGAGACAGGTCCTGTGAAGACTGAGATTGAGCTCTACAGTCACTTTTGCAGCAGTCTGTTTATTATTCCGGGTCACAATCCTGCACAATGACCTTTTGTCTCTTTCGGTCAGTTAAACATGTCTACCGCACTTATGCTCATCAGACGATGTTTTCCCAGGAACGGTATATGCAGCCATAACCTTTGATACTGTACCTCGTGATACCCCAAACAAATTGGCAACTTCAGTCACAGGCACCAGCTAAGCGTGCACCAACAATCTGCCCTCTTTAAAGCTCAGTAAGCTCTGATATGACTCCGTACTACTAGCAGTGCAAGCAGTGAATGATGAAAGTGAGGCTTCCCACCTGTTAGCTAGGTGTCTCATCACACAGCGGACGCAAAAGAAGCTTTACTTCACTTCAATCCAAAACATGTCATCACTTTCAGACCTGCAAATCACATAGTGTTTCCATTTTTTTTGTCTAACCCCTGCATGCCTTAGCTGATATACAAGGTTCTTGGAAGAGCTCACATCTGCATAATTTCTGCACTGTAGCCAAATGAAAGATCAATAGGCAGGATGAGTAGAACTGAAGGTCTACACTCATGGCAATCCAATGGTGTCATGTATTTTCCCAGTTGACATCCAAAACATTGCTAAACAATTTGCTTAATTATAAAGTGACCCTACAGTGACAAATTGCTCAGCATGGACTACCAGTCAAACAGAACTGAAGCTGTACTTCGACATAAGAAAATAAAATGATACATTACATGTGCCCTTTGAACTGTGGAGAGCATCAACCATATCAACCAACTGTGATTGATGAGACATTGAGCAAAATTAATAGGTGGGTGACCTTTCGCTCTTACTGCAAATGTCTACCCAGAAAAATAGTATCTTATTGATTATATTACTGTATTTTAAAGCTGTGGCATACAGTATATATGTAATACATCCCCCCTCTATTCTTTTGTATTGTGTGTTTGTTTGTTTGTTTGATTTTAATTTATTTGCAACCCACCAGGCTTCTGCTGCACATTTAGAAATCTCAGCTGTCACTCAGCTGTCTCTGCCCTCTTAGCTTTATGGAGATTACTGACACTGCATCTGAAACTTCAAGTATAACTACAGTATATTCCCACATAGAAGAAAAATATATTTGAAATATATTTTAAAAATATTCTTACCAAATATATTGCCATATACAGTGAAGGAAATAAGTATTTGATCCCCTGCTGATTTTGAATGTTTGCCCACTCAAAAAGAAATGATCAGTCTAAAAATTTAATGGTAGGTGTATTGTAACACTGAGAGACAGAATAGCAACAAAATATTCAAAAGAAATGTCTAACAAATGATGCACTGATTTGCATGTTCATGAGGGAAATAAGTATTTGATCCCCTATCATTCAGCAGGATTTCTGGCTACCAGGTGTCTTTCATACAGGTAACAAGCTGAGATTAGAAGCAGTCTCTTAAAGGGAGTGCTGCTAATCTCATTTTGTTACCTGTATAAAAGACACCTGTCCACAGGAGCAATCAAACAATCAGATTCCAAACTCTCCACCATGGCAAAGACCAAAGAGCTGTCCAAGGATGTCAGGGACAAGGTTGTAGACCTACACAAGGCTGGACTGGGCTACCAAACTATCGTCAAGCAGCTTGGTGAGAAGGTGACAACAGTTGGTCCAATCATTCGCAAATGGAAGAAACACAAAACAACTGTCAGTCTCCCCAGGTCTGGTGCTCCATGCAAGATATCACCTCGTGGAGTGTCAATGATCATGAGAACAGTGGGGAATTATCCCAGAACTACACGCGAGGATCTTGTCAATGATCTCCAGGCAGCTGGTACCACAGTCACCAAAAAAAACAATTGGTAATACACTACACCGACTTTGAAATCCTGCAGTGCCAGCAAGCTCCTTCTGCTCAAGAAAGCACATGTCCAGGCCCGTCAGAAATTTGCTACTGAACATCTGAATGATGCAGAGGAAGACTGGTTGAAAGTGTTGTGGCATCAACTCAACTCACCGTGTTTGAAGGAGGAGGAATGCTGCCTATGACTCCAAGAACACCATCCCAACTGTCAAACATGGTGGTGGAAACATTCTTCTTTGGGGGTGTTTTTTTCTGCTAAGGGGACAGAACAACTGCACCGCATCAAAGGGACGATGGACAGGGCAATGTGCCATCAAATCTTGGGTGAGAACCGTCTTCCCTCAGCCAGGTATTGAAAATGGGTCGTGGATGGGTGTTCCAGCATGACAATGACCCAAAACACACGGCCGAGGCAACAAAGGAGTGACTCAAGAAGAAGCACATTAAGGTCCTGGAGTGGCCTAGCCAGTCTCCAGACCTTAATCCGATTGAAAATCTGTGGAGGGAGCTGAAAGTTCGAGTTGCCAAACATCAGCCACCAAACCTTAATGACTTGGAGAGGATCTGCCAAGAGAAGTGGGCCAAAATCCCTCCTGAGATGTGTGCAAACCTGGTGGCCAACTACAGGAAATAAAAATCAAAAAATGTGGCGCTACTCATAGAACTTAAAAAATGCTAATCAAAAAAATTATTTTAAAATATATATAACACATACAATACACCTCGTGAGATAAATATACATATAATAATCAAGTGGTCATAGTGATCAGAAAATATATATTAAACTAATATCATAAAAAACATAGTGTATAAATACTGTGTTTTGACAATCTTTGTGACAATTTCTAACACATGAAAGCAATAAATAATTATAATAATTATACTGTGATCAATCATGCAAATAAAGTGCACAAAATATCACACTAAAACACAAACGAAAAATGTGTAGACAAATGTCCAATGGGTGGGTGACACCACTACTGCAATTGCAAGCACACGTGATCATAAAGTGACTCCAGGTGCAGAAACTCCAACACACGGCTAGATTAGCCTCTCACCTCCAGGCTTCGACCCGTGAAGGTCAAAGCGTATAATGGGATCAAACCCTCAAATCCTCTCAGCATCTACTGATATCCACTGATCCACTTTCACCATCCATAGATATCCTTCTCTAGGGGTCGATAATCAAGCAGTGGCTCCTCTTATGGGGTATGGGTATGTGCCAAAAAAATAAACACAATCTCCCATAGTGTAGCAGGTAAATTTAATGAAAATCA